AAAAATTATTATAATTTGAGCTTCGTCATGGTTATGTTTTAGGGTAATTTTTGTCAATTCAAAAACGAAGTTTTTTCCGTAACGCTTGTATTTTATGCAGCTCTTAGTTAATATTACATCGGAGAAAAACTAAGTGCGTTGCTCGCCAAAAATTATTCTATTTGTTTGGTCTTTGTACGAATTCTCAGTAAATTCTTTTCTTGTTTTGTAGCATACTTGACATCTTCGATATGATTAGGCTATGATTTTTGCCTACCAACATCTTTTTTAAGATGACTACAAAGAACTTGATTTTATCACAACATATCAAAGTAAACGTTTGTTTTTCCTCTTTTTGGAAAACCATGTTTATTGGTATTTTTTTGGCAGAGATGTTCAAACAAACAATAGCTGAAACTAAAAGAAGCAGCATTTGTGGTTTTTCTTGTACACAGGCACTGTGCAAACGAGAAAAAAAACCCTCTGCATTTCCTTTGTTTAACCTTATAAACTTTTTTTAAGTACTGGGTCAGCAAGTGTTAGGACTGAATGATTATAATATAGTAAGAATCGGTCGTAGTACTAATACTTACAAGTAAATCACTTCACTCGGCTGTACTATGATCGAAGAAAAGTTCGAAATGTTTGTGATTCGGCATCTTGCGGAAATCTTTTGTTGCAAGGTGAGCAAGCAATGACAGTTAACGCTTGCCTTTTCGTCTCGCCTACATACGACTTTTTCCAATGGACTGGCATTCATCAGTGCAACCAGTTGACTCAAGCTGAAAACCGCTTGCAAAATATTCAGGGCTTTCATTTCCACAAATGAGATCGAACTATTCGTTACGACGATATCAACTTTGGTTGAATATACGTACTATATAACGATACAACAATCAACTTAGGCGTTGAATGTTCAATGTTGAAAATAATATTGAAACGAAATTGTAGGCAAGAATGAAGGTATACACTGTACTGTTGTCGGATGATTTAAATACAGCTGGACTTAACGTTAAATCATGCAACTAAAAAGCAGGTGTTTCTAGAACGAATTACAGCCAGTCTTCAAGACTGAAACAGGTTAACAAAATGAACAATCGATTTATGGATTCTTTTTTGATGAGAATAAGTTGAGTTAGGATTCCTACTGTATGTATTATGACGTCTATACTCACGCCTTGGTTTGCTTAGTGTGTGTGTTTGTTTCAAAGAATTCCAACTTAAAGGGGGCGACTTAAACGGGGGGGG